CGCGAAAAGAAAACAAAGAATACAAAAGATCAGGCTGGAAATGCAGAGAGGCCAGATCACAACAGGTTTTGTAAGCAACAGTAAGGAGTTTGAGTTTTATGCTAACTACTATGACAATTTACTGGAAAGTTTAATGCAGCATAAGAATTGATCACCATCTTATATTCACCAGTGGAAGAGATAAAGCCTGAGATCTATTATGAAATAAAAATCAGCAGAACTTACATTTAGTAGCACTGCTCAATTTTTCATTCCCCAAAACATATACCCAAACACCTTGAATCTGTATTAGGTACTGCTTTGTGACTTTCTTATTAGACATGTTTAAAGGTTTAAACTAATTTAAGGTAAGGAAGTGCTATACTGAACAACAGGATACCTTAAATTTATAACATATGGCAACTATTCAAATAACCATATACATTTTTGGGTTAAGCAAAGCATTCAAATCTGAACAGCAATTGACTCTTAAAAAGAACAGATGTGGTTGACAGTTTATCATTTACAATTGTTCACTTTTACTTAAAAAAAGTGATTACCAGTATTTGAAATCTTCTCAGAGCAGGCAGTGCCTGCATTTCCTGGGGTAACCAACACTTGTTTGACATGAGTAGACTGTGCAAGTTTCCAGGCCAGTGTGTGTTCCCGTCCTCCATTGCCAATGACAAGTACTCGGGCTGCCATTGCACTATCTGCAAAGCAGGAATTCAGCAGGAAGATGAAAGCTGCAGAAAGAAAACCACAGTTGACCATTTTAAACTGGGATTCATAATTTAAGAAATATGACTGTACTCTTAAGGATTAGCATAGTACTTTAGAAATAAGGCAGACTGGCCTAAAGAGCTTGATTTAAAAAAAAAAACAAAACAACTACAAACAATCACCCTTTTTAGGGCTTCACTTTTAGAAGATTTAATAATCATCAAACCTCAGTTAAAAATGAGTCTTAATGTTGTTCCAGTGGTTAAGAATCCATCTTCCAACATGGGGGATATGGGTTTGATCCACGGCCAGGGAACTAAGACACCAGATACTGGGTAGCTTGCGTGCACAATATACTACTGTGCAGCAGCTCAAGTGCCACAGCTAGAGAGAAGCCTGTGCGCCACAAAGAAGACCCAATGCAGCCAAATAAATAAATAAATTCTGATGGCCATATAGTCTCTGCTGCAATTACTGAACTCTGCCATTGGAGCACAAACAGCAGCCTTGGACAAGAGACTAATGTGGCCTGGCTATGCTCAGCAAAAACTTACATAAAACAGGCATGGGCTGTAGGTCATAGTTTGCCTATTTCTGCTCTAAGCAACAAGAAGCTGTAAGAGGTTTATGAAGAATTAAGTGTGGCTCTGTTTCAATAAAACTTTATTTATGGATATAAGCAATTTGAATTTTGCATAACTGTCACAGAAACATCCCTTCTTCTTTTTTCCCCCTAACCATTTAACAACATAAAAATTATTCTTGTGCTCGCTTCGGCAGTACATATACTAAAATTGGAACGATACAGAGAAGATTAGCATGGCCCTTGCGCAAGGATGACACGCAAATTCGTGAAGCATTCCATATTTTTGAGACTCAGATGTATAGAACAGACTTGTGGACTCTGTGGGAGAAGGCGAGGGTGGGATGTTTCAAGAGAACAGCATCGAATCATGTATATTATCTAGGATGAAACAGATCACCAGCCCAGGTTGGATGCATGAGACAAGTGCTCGGGCCTGGTGCGCTGGGAAGACCCAGAGGGATCGGGTATGTAAATCCATGGCTAATTCATTTCAATGTATGACAAAAACCACTGCAATGTTGTAAAGTAATTAGCCTCCAACTAATAAAAATAAATGGAAAAAAAAATTATTCTTAGTGAACTGTACAAAAACAGGTAAATGGCAACCCACTCCAGTATTCTTCCCTGGAGAATTCCATGGGCAGAGGAGCTTGATAGGCTGCCGTACATGGGGTCACAGAGAGTTGGACACGACTGAGTGACTAACACACACACACACACACACACACACACACACACACACACAGTAGGAAGGACTGGCAGGAAGAGCTATAGTCTGCTGATCCCCATTTAAGAAGTTGGTGTAGGGCTTCCCTGGTGGTGTAGTGGTTAAGAATCTACCTGCCAATGCAGGAGAAACAGGTTCGATCCCTGGTATGGGAAGATCCCACATGCCTTGGATCAACTAAGCATGTGTGTGACGCTGAGGTAGCATTCTAGAGCCTGGGAGCCCTTCTGGGCCCCTTCACCCTAGAGCCCCTGCTTCAAAACAAGAGAAGCCACCACGATGAAAGGCCCATACACTATAACAAAGAGTACACCCTGCTCTTTGCAACTAGAGAAAGCAAAAGCAAAACAAAAAAGATCCAGTGCAGGCAAAAATACAAATAAGTAAATAAATCTTTTTTTTAAGTGCAATATGCTAGAAAACTGGCAAAGGGACTTCCCTGGTGGTCCAGTGGTTAAGAATCTGCCTTCCAATGCAGGGGATGCGCATTCCATTCCTGGTTGGGGAATGAAGATCCCAGGTGCCAAAGGGCAGCTAAGCCCAGGGGATGCAGCAGCTCCCTCCTCCCAAAGGAAATTGGTGGAGAAGGCAGAAATCAAACACATCTCATTTAGTTCTGGCATCTGATCCTGAGCAGGATGGGCAACTATCTCTCAGTCAAGTTAGCATGTGACCTTGGTTAAGCTCTTACTGTCTGCAATTCGATTTCTATGCATCTTACAAGGTGGAATTAAGAATGTGCCTTATGAGATATAGTAAGAATTGAAATGTCATTTATTTATAAATAATTAGTACAACTGCATACACTCAGTAGTAAAAGAAAGAATGCTAACATGCTACATTTGATTACTTTTGTCTAAACTGATGCTTCAGGGATAGAAATTCTAGAAAGCCAAAAGAATGAATAATCTGTCATATTATGTCATATTCATTTACTAATTTTCAGAAGACATCTAATTACGTAGAATGCAAACTGATAACAGGAAAAAGTGAAATCAGTTACTTATGAAATACTAGGAATACATATTTAAAGAAAAATCTAAGTTGATAATATAAAAACACTTCTTGAGCACTTCTTGCCAGATGCTACTCTAAATGCTTTGAATTTTAAAATTCTATAAGGTAGATAGGATTACTATGCCCACTTAGCTGATAAACATACCTGAGGTTCAGTTAGGTTGAGTAACTTGCTGCAGGTCACACAGATCAGAGGGTGAGATTCCAACAGAAGCAATTTTGCTTCAAATACAATTGAAAATTTGAAGAAGAAAAAAAGTTACTATGTTATCTCAGAAAGGAAAATGGTTAATGGAAAACACAAACTTGCCATGTGTATTCAAATATTTAAAATAAATATACCTTTAAATCTAGAGAAGACATTAATGTGAATTACAGGGGCACTGAGAGGATTATCACAGTAGATCTCCGAAATAGCTTCAGTACTCAGACCGAGGGAATGTACATTCAGGAGTGGCTAGGAGCCCTTCAGTCAGAGGACCTGGGATTGGGTTAAGACTTACTAGCTGGGAAACCTGGAGGAACTTAACCTTCTTGGACCTCAGTCGTCTAAGTGAATAACATAAGAGAATTAGAGAGCCGAGAAAAGCCATTTCAAAAGAGTTGGTGAATAACACATAATAGAAACCAACTCCAAAATGGGATTAAGTAACCTGCTAGAGACAAAGGACGGAATTAACAAGAAAATATGCAATTCTGGTGCATGACATTAAAAAAAAAAAAAGCATAAAGGTACAAAAATGGCCCTGACACCTAGAGCAGAGAAAATGACAGACCCGTTGTAGACCCCAGTTAAAGTGAAAAAGCACATGGCCAACCTTCACCCATGGCATGTGGAAATAAGATGAAAATTCCTACAGCCAAACCGGTTCAGACAGTTTCATCTCATGCCTGAGAGTAAATCCGCCAAACCAAACCGTAAAGCAACTTTACTGAGAGGCGGAGGAAACTCACCCGGCGACACAGTGGGACTTCAAGGCCCGCGCGTAGACCCTCGCCGAGCCCTCTGGATCTGAACGCCCGCCACGCGCGCCGGAAGTTGGGAGCGCGGAATCCGGCGCGCACGGACACCCCCCCCCCCCCGCCCTCGACTGGCTTCGCCTCCCCATTGGCTGGCGCGGCCCACGGTCCCCACCCCGATGTAATCAAGAGCGATTCCCTCCCGCTCTCGGGCGCGGCCTGAACCTCCCCTCCGGAGCAAATCTCTTAAGCCCTACTCGTTCAGAGTGTTTAATTCTGTGGTACCAGGTGCCACGTAAAATCTCTTTTCTCCCCCCCACCCCCGAACCTCCTGCACTCTGAGGAGGGTGGGGAGCCCCAAAATGCTAAACCCATGTTCAGCTACTTGTGTGTTGCTTAGGAATCAGAACTGACCGGCTACTATGCAAAAGTCTTGTGACGCGCCTGGCTCCTGACGAGATTAGAATGCACCAGGGGTTGAGCTCAGCTGGCTCGTGACCTCTGGCCCAATGCTAAAATGGAAAAAAAAAAAAAAAGCTGATTATAGGATGCCATGGGAGAGAGGTGGGGGTATGAAAACGTTATTCTTCGTACGGTGGGCAGGCGCTGATAATGTGCTTTCCCGGATGGATCTCCTCTGCCGAAACGCGGAGACATCCAGGAATGTTGGAGCACCCTGTTGGCCTCCCCGCTCCCTTTCCTCTCGAATTTAATCTCGGGTAGTTAGTGACTAAATAAGGCTCTTAAACCGCCCCCCCTCCCCCCGCCGCTGAACTCTGTTGAAGACTGACAACTGAAACTGACACAGCCACCTCGAGAAAGACTTCTCCTGTAATGGCGCCTGCGTCAGTCACTAACATGGCGGACACAGTCGTGCGCGGCGCAAACGTCAGCAGCTCTACCCCAGACGCTCAGAAACAGAGGAGGAGAGCGGGGCCGTGCTCGCTGATAGGTTCGGAGGCGGAGCGTGCCGGTCTGGGCTCTCCCACAGGAGCCAATCAGGACGGCGAGAGACGGAATTGGCCGCTGCGCCTCCTCCCGAGGCATGCTGGGAGCCTGGAGGACTAGTGAGGAGGAGTTGAGAGAACGGAGCGGACGCCATGGCGACCAACATCGAGCAGATTTTTAGGTCTTTCGTGGTCAGTAAATTCCGGGAAATTCAACAGGAGCTTTCAAGGTAAGCGCTCCTCAGACTCTTCTGCTCCCAAAGGACCCCTGGGACCCCACGGGGCCCTCCATGGAACCTTTCTTCAGAGACGCTGTCGTTGCTCGTCTCAGGCCCGGCTACAGCCCCGCCTGGGCCTGGGATCCATTTTCCGGCCCCCCCACCCCCATCCGCTCCCTCCCTTCCCGGCGAGGAACTTCGCCCTTTCCGAGGTAATCCCAGGGACTCTCTTCTAGAACCGATTTAAGATGCTCAGCCTTCTCTCCTGTTTGGGCATCCCCTACCGTCTAGCTACTGTAGGCCTGCTTGTCCACCAGGGATGGGCCTAGTTCCTTCCTCAGCTCTGCCGCCGCGCTTCCCCTCCCCCTCTCCGCCTCCGCGGATTTCGCCGGCCGGTGTCTTTGACCGGAAAGGGGTCTAACGGCCGTTTCTTGAGTAATCTTAAATACACTTTATTATTGCAAGCTTCGGACCCCTTGGGGTTTGGTATCTTTTGAGAAGATTATTTGGGTTCTAATGTCCTGTGGCTTCCACCAGGTAGCATTCTAAATAGTCTGGTAGATTAGAAATTTAAATTAAAATAGTTCAAGTTAACGTTAGCTATTGTGACAATATTCGAGGCGAGGATGGAAGGAGACTTTGAATTACTAGTAATTACTCAATTTAGCAAGCGGAAAGTGGAGTTAGTGTGTTGGTCTAAATATTCTTGTTCCCTCTGCCCCAATTGACATATTTGACCAACACGCTATTTTTGTCATCGCTACTAGTTTACCCTTGGTTCCACACAATTTGAATGGGAAGAGACTTTCAAAGAAATAGTTGCTTACTCAGAAAGGAAAATCGCGTGGGTCATGTTGTTTAGTGGTTGTCTTTTTGTATTTTTACTTTGTATAACGTAAACATTTGTTCCGAGTTCAAATGCATTGTTAGTTGTGTTTTAAAAGTTGAGAGCTAGAATCAGATGTGAGGTGAATTTGAAAATTAGCCGGAAACGCAGTTGTAAACTGAACGCTGCAATTAACATAAGTTTATGGGGCAATGATATAGATTTGCTGGAATTCTTTGCGTGATACTTTTTTTTAAAGTGGGAAATATATCTGTTCATTGATTTAGTTGCTTTTTGAAATTTTGTTATCTGCTAGTTATTTTTAGAATGGTGAGAAACGACCTGAGCTAAGGGGATAGAATTTTCCTGGAAACTTTTTAATAGTTGCATGCAATAAGTAGTTGTGTTTTCTAGTTGTAATGTCTTGTTTCTGTACCTTTTAAAAATTAGGTTTTGTATTCGAAGTTTTATTGTTATAGAAGATTTAGAAAAAATAGAGAAACGAATTTTAAAACGTAGTTATTGATCTTTATGTTCTTTCGTTTTTTTTTTTTTTTTCCTTGTGCATACAGATGCACGTGTTTTGTGAAATGTGATCATCTTGTTTTGTGTTGGTTGTTTTTTTCACCTGTATATTGTGAACTTTCATCATGGTTTCAGTAGGCTTTGGAATATTTTTCACGGCTCCATAGAATTCTGTTTATTGTAGAATTGTATTGATATTTAGGTGCTTTGAAATTTCCACCCTTTTTCAGTAGTTGAATGAACATCCCGATAGCTTTAAGATGATTACTTTCTTATAGACTGCCTGGTTTTGTTTTTTTTAATCCCTACTTTTCTGATTTTTAAATCCGTGAATTTTTTTTTACTAAGGTAAGTACAATGTAAGTGCTTAGGAAAAATGTAAAGAAAGTCTAAAAAGAAAATTAGATAAAGCAGTGTATTACTAGAGGAATATTCAGCTTCTTTTCAAGTAACCTATACATTATCAGTGTCAAAATTATTCGCTATTTTAGTGAGCTGTAGTTTTTTTTTCTCATTTTTTATGTATATTGATTTGAGTGAGGAGACGGATACTTAAATAGTTTTAAGTTTTTATATATAGATGGTGAGGAGGAAGAGCTCTGGTTTTGAATGCCAGCTTTACCGCTTAATAGATGTGTAACCTTTAGCTAGGTTTTTTTTTTTTTTTTTTTGGTCTTCTCTGGGCCTCATTTTCCTCTTTGAAAAATCAGAACAATAGTGCTGACTTCAGAGTTTGTGGGGATAAATGAGTTTAGAAATGTAGAACCATGTAACCCTAGTTAATAGTTAATAAATGTTAAATAATATTTATTGTATGATTCATTGTATTCGAAAGCCAAATATTCTTTAGTAACATGGAAAGCTACTAAATTTTTTTGTTAGTTAAGACTTGTTACATTAAGTCAGGTGCTTTTAAAGTATTTTTCGAAACAGTTCTGTAAATTTGTACAGAATAATGCAAGTGACAAAGATGATACATAAAAATGTATCATCTGTCAAGATTCTTCTGTCCCTGTGAATTGAAAACAGGTTAAGTGATACATTCATTTACTGTTACTAGAAATAAATTGGTTTACATGATTTTGGTAACTGGGTGAAAATTACATGTGTATTTTTTTCTTTTCCACATTGTGGCATTTCATTAACTGAACAGTCTCAACCTGATCTGAAGCTACCAGTTATACTTTTGACTAAATGTGGCTAAATTTGTGTTCCTTCATATTGCTGATGGTGATTGTGATCCATCCAGAGGTGTAGCTTTATTGTCACTATAGCATTTACCATAATGTTAGGTAATGTGTTTTTCTTTGGTTTTGTGATTGTGATCTTAGTAATTTTTTTCCCCTGAGAGAAATATGCTGGTTGGGGAGTATTTGTTTTTGTTTTTTTTTTAAGAGTTTGGAAACCTGTTTTAAAGATTTTCTTAACTTTTAACACTTCTGAGAACTTTAAGAAATTGTTTGAAAATAAAAATGTGCCAACTGTAAGTAGTGTTAAGGAAGCACCATTGATGGGGAAATGGGGAATATCATCCAAAATTAAATACAAAATGGTGAAATGTATGAATAATATGAAGTTTTTTTTTTTAATAAGTTGAGTTACAAGTATTTATATGTCATGATAGAATTATTAACGAATCTTGATAACTTTTCTTCTCAAGTGGAAGGAGTGAAGGACAGCTCAATGGTGAAACAAACACACCTATTGAAGGAAACCAGGCAGGTGATGCCGCTGCCTCTGCCAGGAGCCTACCAAATGAAGACATAGTTCAGAAGATAGAGGAAGTACTTTCTGGGGTCTTAGATACAGAATTACGATATAAGCCAGGTAAGTTGGAGATAATTACCTGTCTTGAAAGTTAAATTTTTAAAAATAGTTAATAGTTAAATAATAGTATTTCCTGATTGCAGGGTATTTAAGATGTTCATTAGATCTAAAACGTCAGTAAGTTGAATTTTTAATTTAACTGATTTACTGAAGACTTTTTGCTTATGTCCATTTTTTGAAAATACAGTTGGACTTGTTTGCTTTACTGGTGGAGCATAACTGTATTTGGCTCAGTCTTGTAGTGCCTCAGTGCCAGGATTTTGAATATGGATTTTCATTGAAAAATTGTGTAAATGTCAAGTTTTGGAAGGTACAGGAGTCTGGACCAAATTGTAATGATTTTAAAACCCTGGAAAGTTTTATTTTAAAGCTCAAGCTTAGAGATTACCTTGTTTTTGCATCTCCTTTTAAAGGTGCAATAAATGGGGAGGAAGCATTGCTGCATATTGAGCATTTGGGGAATTAATTAAATAATTGGTGCTTAGAAATGAGTTATGATCAAGCATCTTTTATTTTTGGAAATGGAGACATGGATTTTTTTTTTTTTTTTTTTAGTATAGTGTATGGCTTAAAAAATAGTATAGGCTGTTTAGATTCATGACTTCAGCGACTTTTGTTGAAGTATAATGTAGATTTGGTACATAATATAAATGATAAGCAGAAAATGATTAGTTTTGCTTTGAAGCAGGTCTTGTCATGTGTTGATTCACTTTACCCATAATCTTGATGACCTGGAATTCTGATGATCTTTTTCTGAGATCACTAAGGTTTATCAGATTTGATACTGGCATTAGAGTAAATCTCATCTAGTAATAAAGTAGAAGCCATTTTTTGGTTCAGATGAGTAATGAAAGGAAGAGGTGTTACTTTTATTAGAATGCAGCATGAGTGAAAATTTGGGTTCCATGTTTTGTGTTTGTTGCTCAGACCTTTGCATTCTTTATAAAACCATTTGCTGAGGGTTTACTTGATGCCAGGTGTTATTCAATGTACTTTGCATGTTTTAACTCAGTTTGTCCTCTGCCTGTGAAAGACAGTGTCAGCAATTGAGTGGTGCATTGATTCAGTATGCAAAAGCAGACAGTCTGTTCTAAAGTCGGTGCCACATTGTTTCTTGTATAAGTAAATAGGGGTTGTGAAATAGTCACAAAAATTATTCAGTATATGTATTTTTAGGAATTCTAATAGTTAATAACATGAAAGATGTTCATCTGTAAGTGTAGTTTAAAAGTAACTTGTATGTTGAGAGATGGAAAAAAATAATTGTTTTTAATGAACTCAGGAAAAATACATTTTAATGTAATTCTGAAAACTTTTGCAATAAATTAAGAACTTATTTTTTAACCCTGGCTTTAGTTGTAGAAGAAGTATTGCAAAGGTGTCAGTCTTCAGATAGCTGGTTTATGGAAAATTATTTTAACAGGAGATGTTTTATGGTATCTTAACATGGAATATAAGGTATTGTTTATTTATCTAAATCTATCTTGGGGAATATTTGACATAATTAATTTTCCTTAATTTCAGACTTGAAGGAGGCATCCAGAAAAAGTAGATGTGTGTCTGTCCAAACAGATCCTACTGATGAAATTCCTACCAAAAAGTCGAAGAAGCATAAAAAGCACAAAAATAAAAAGAAGAAAAAGAAGAAAGAAAAGGAGAAAAAGTATAAAAGACAGTCAGAAGAATCTGAGTCAAAGCCGAAATCACATCACGATGGGAACATAGAATCGGATTCCTTTTTGAAGTTTGATTCTGAACCTTCAGAGCTGGCACTGGAGCATCCTGTGAGAGTGTTTGGCCTGTCTGACACCAGTGAGTGTCCCGCAGTTGGGCTTGAACATCCTGTGGTTTCGATGGAAGTCTCAGAGCCACACACCTTAGAAACTCTGAAGCCAGCTACAAAACATACAGAACTGTCAGTTGCATCTACATCAGTAGTATTAGTGCAGTCAGAGGCAGTAATGCTGGAACCATCCACAACAAAGATTCTGGATTCCTTTGCAACAGCACCAGTGCCTACTACAACAGTAGTGCTAAAGTCATCTGAGCCAGTGGTAACAATGTCAGTGGAGTGTCAGGTGAAATCTGTGCAGAAATCTTTGGAGAGCGCACCTCCAGAGCCATCAGAGATTATGTTGCTAGAGTTATCAGAAACTCTTGTGTCATCAGAGACACCTACTGAGGTGCACCCTGAGCCAAACACGTCAACAACAATGGATTTTCCAGAGTCGTCAGCAACTGAAGTGCTAAGATTGCCAGAGCAGCCTGTAGAAGGACCATCAGAGATTGCAGATTCATCCATGACACGACCGCAGGAGATGCTGGAGCTGCCCAAGACCACAGCGTTGGAGCTGCAGGAGTCGTCGGTGGCCTCAGTGATGGAGTTGCCGGGGCCACCTGCGACCTCCATGCCGGAGTTGCAGGGGCCCCCTGTGACTCCAGTGCTGGAGTTACCTGGGCCCTCTGCTACCCCGGCACCAGAGTTGCCAGGGCCCCTTTCTACCCCAGTGCCTGAGTTGCTAGGGCCCCCTGCAACAGCAGTGCCTGAGTTGGCGGGGCCCTCTGTGACATCAGTGCCACAGTTGTCACAGGAATTGTCAGCGCTTCCAGCACCATCCATGGGGTTGGAGCCACCACAGGAGGTACCAGAGCCACCTGTGATGGCACAGGAGTTACCAGGGCTGCCTGCGGTGACAACAGCAGTAGAGTTGCCAGGGCAGCCTGTGGTAACAGTAGCAATGGAGTTGACCGAACAACCTGTGACGACGACAGAGTTGGAGCAGCCTGTGGGGATGACAGCGGTGGAACATCCTGGGCAGCCTGAGGTGACAACGGCAACAGGGTTGCTGGGGCAGCCTGAGGCAGCAATGGTGCTGGAGTTGCCAGGACAGCCGGTGGCAACGACAGCGCTGGAGTTGTCAGGGCAGCCTTCGGTGACTGGGGTGCCAGAGTTGCCAGGGCTGCCTTCGGCAACTAGGGCGCTGGAGTTGTCGGGGCAGCCTGTGGCAGCTGGGGCACTGGAGTTGCCTGGGCAGCTCATGGCAGCTGGGGCACTGGAGTTCTCGGGGCAGTCTGGGGCAGCTGGAGCCCTGGAGCTTCTGGGGCAGCCTTTGGCAACAGGGGTGCTGGAGTTGCCAGGGCAACCTGGGGCGCCAGAGTTGCCTGGGCAGCCTGTGGCAACTGTGGCGCTGGAGATCTCTGTTCAGTCTGTGGTGACAACGGAGCTGTCAACGATGACCGTGTCGCAGTCCCTGGAGGTGCCCTCGACGACAGCGCTGGAGTCCTATAATACGGTAGCACAGGAGCTGCCTACTACATTAGTGGGGGAGACTTCTGTAACAGTAGGAGTGGATCCCTTGATGGCCCAGGAATCCCATATGTTAGCTTCTAACACCATGGAGACCCATATGTTAGCATCCAACACCATGGACTCCCAAATGCTAGCGTCCAACACCATGGACTCTCAAATGCTAGCATCCAACACCATGGACTCCCAGATGTTAGCCTCTAGCACCATGGACTCCCAGATGTTAGCAACCAGCTCCATGGACTCCCAGATGTTAGCAACCAGCTCCATGGACTCCCAGATGTTAGCAACCAGCTCCATGGACTCCCAGATGTTAGCAACCAGCTCCATGGACTCTCAGATGTTAGCAACCAGCTCCATGGACTCCCAGATGCTAGCCACCAGCTCCATGGACTCTCAGATGTTAGCAACCAGCACCATGGACTCCCAGATGTTAGCCACTAGCTCTATGGACTCCCAGATGTTAGCATCTGGCACTATGGACTCTCAGATGTTAGCTTCTGGCTCCATGGATGCTCAGATGTTAGCGTCTGGTACCATGGATGCCCAGATGTTAGCATCTAGTACCCAAGATTCTGCTATGTTGGGTTCAAAATCTCCTGATCCCTACAGGTTAGCTCAGGATCCTTACAGGTTAGCTCAGGATCCGTATAGGTTAGGTCATGACCCTTACAGGCTAGGTCATGATGCCTACAGGTTAGGGCAGGACCCCTATAGATTAGGCCATGATCCCTACAGACTAACTCCTGATCCCTATAGGATGTCACCTAGACCCTATAGGATAGCACCCAGGTCCTATAGAATAGCTCCCAGGCCATATAGGTTAGCACCTAGACCCCTGATGTTAGCATCTAGACGTTCTATGATGATGTCCTATGCTGCAGAACGTTCCATGATGTCATCTTATGAACGCTCTATGATGTCTTACGAGCGGTCTATGATGTCCCCTATGGCTGAGCGTTCTATGATGTCAGCCTACGAGCGCTCTATGATGTCAGCCTATGAGCGCTCTATGATGTCCCCTATGGCTGAGCGCTCTATGATGTCAGCCTACGAGCGCTCTATGATGTCAGCCTACGAGCGCTCCATGATGTCCCCAATGGCTGACCGATCTATGATGTCCATGGGTGCTGACCGGTCTATGATGTCGTCATACTCTGCTGCTGACCGGTCTATGATGTCATCGTACTCTGCAGCTGACCGATCTATGATGTCATCTTATACTGCTGATCGTTCAATGATGTCTATGGCAGCTGATTCTTACACCGATTCTTACACTGATACATACACGGAGGCATATATGGTGCCACCTTTGCCTCCTGAAGAGCCTCCAACAATGCCACCATTGCCACCTGAAGAGCCACCAATGACACCACCATTGCCTCCTGAGGAGCCACCAGAAGGTCCAGCGTTAGCCACTGAGCAGTCAGCATTAACAGCTGAAAATACATGGTCTGCTGAGGTGCCAGCATTACCTCCTGAAGAGTCTGTATCGCTGCCTGAACCTCCTGTGAGTCAAAGTGAGATTGCAGAGCCTTTGGCAGTGACTGCTAATTATTCAGTGTCAGCATCAGAGCCTTCAGTGTTAGCATCAGAGGCTGCCGTGACTGTTCCAGAACCACCGCTAGAGCCAGAGTCTTCAGTTATGTCAACACCTGTAGAGTCTGCTGCTGTAGCAGAAGAGCATGAAATTGTTGCAGAGAGACCAGTGACTTACCTGGTGTCTGAAACTCCCACAACATCAGCTGAACCAACTGTGTTAACCTCAGAGCCTTCTGTTATGTCAGAAACAGCAGAAACTTATGATTCCATGAGGGCTTCAGGACAGACTGCCTCAGAGGTATCTATGTCCCTGCTGGAGCCAGCAGTACCTATTGCAGAACCATCACAGAGCACTGTAGATCTGCCAGCCATGACTGTCTTAGAGCCGCCATCTGTGGCTGTTTCAGAGCACCCAGCTGGGACTGTTTCAGAGACATCAACCATGGCTGTCCCAGAGCCACAGGCTGAGGCTGTCCTAGACCCTCCAGCTGCAGCTGTCCTGGACCCACCAACTGAGGCTGTCCCAGAGTCCCTGGCCTTGTCTGAGCCAGAGCATGTTACCATTCCTTTGCCAGTTGTTTCTGTCCTGGAGCCTACTGTGCCTATCCTGGAACCAGTGGTGTCTATCCTTCAACCTAATGTGATTGTTTCAGAACCATCTAGTTGTGTCCAAGAGTCCACTGTGACAATTTCAGAGCCTCCTGTCACTGTCTCAGAGCAGACTCAAGTAATACCAACTGAGACAGTTGTAGAGTCTACACCAGTAATATTAGAGTCTAGTGTTATAAAAGGAATGAATTTACTATCTGGTGATCAAAATATTGCTTCAGAGATTGGCATACAGGAGATAGCCATGCATTCAGATGAAGAGCCACGTGCTGAAGGACTCCTGAAGAGTGGCTCTAACGAAACTGAAAGTTGTATAAATACAGACCTTAATATAAATAATCACTTAATTGCTCAAGAGATGGAACATATCACAGTGTCTGCTGCCAGCACTGGTGCTGTTGGTGAAATTGGTGAAGAGACAATTTTGCCTACTAGTGAGACTAAACAATGCACAGTGTTGGATACCTGTCCTAGTGTTGGTGAAACTGAGCTAGGAGGAACTCTGTCTTCTATTGGTCCCCTTGTCCTTGAACCTGAAGCAGTGGGAACTGGTAAGGATCTTGAATTTGGCACAGCATCTGCTCTCAGTTCAGTTAGTAAATATGATGTTGAAGTATCTTTAACTACTCAAGATACTGAACATGACATGGTAATTTCCACCAGCCCCAGTGGTGGTAGTGAAGCTGACATAGAGGGACCTTTGCCTGCTAAAGACATTCATCCTGATTTACCTAATAATTTTATCAGTAAGGATGCAGAAGGATCATTACCTGTACAGGAGAGTGATCAGATGTTAGCAGCTGCTGTAAGTCCTAAAGAAAGTAGTGGAGAAGATAAAGAAGTGTCTCTCTCTACTAAAGAGATAGTGTCTGATTCAGGATTTCCTGCCAGCATTGATGATATTAATGAAGCTGATTTAGTGAGACCATTACTTCCTAAGGACATGGAACGTCTTACAAGCCTTAGAGCTGGTATTGAAGGACCTTTACTTTCGAGTGAGGTGGAACGGGATAAATCTGCTGCCAGTCCAGTTGTAATTAGCATACCAGAAAGAGCTTCAGAGTCGTCTTCAGAGGAAAAAGATGATTATGAAATTTTTGTAAAAGTTAAGGACACACATGAAAAAAGCAAGAAAAATAAGAACCGTGACAAAGGCGAGAAAGAGAAGAAAAGAGACTCTTCATTAAGATCGAGAAGTAAACGTTCCAAGTCTTCTGAACACAAATCTCGAAAGCGCACCAGTGAATCTCGTTCTAGGGCCAGGAAGAGGTCATCTAAGTCCAAGTCTCATCGGTCTCAAACACGTTCGAGGTCACGATCACGACGCAGGAGGAGGAGCAGCAGGTCAAGATCAAAGTCTAGAGGAAGGCGATCTGTATCAAAAGAGAAGCGCAAAAGATCTCCAAAGCACAGATCCAAGTCCAGGGAAAGAAAAAGAAAAAGATCAAGCTCCAGGGATAACCGGAAAACAGGTAGAGCTCGAAGTCGCACCCCAAGTCGTCGGAGCCGGAGTCACACTCCAAGCCGTAGGAGAAGATCCAGATCCGGGGGGAGAAGGAGCTTTAGCATTTCCCCAAGCCGACGGAGTCGGACCCCAAGTCGACGGAGCCGCACCCCTAGCAGACGGAGCCGCACCCCGAGCCGTCGGAGCCGGACCCCGAGCCGTCGGAGCCGGACCCCAAGCCGTCGGAGCCGGACCCCGAGCCGTCGGAGAAGATCAAGGTCTGTGGTAAGAAGGCGAAGCTTCAGTATATCACCAGTCAGATTACGGCGATCACGAACACCCTTGAGAAGAAGGTTTAGCAGGTCTCCAATCCGTCGCAAACGATCCAGGTCTTCAGAAAGAGGCAGATCACCTAAACGTCTCACAGATTTGAGTGAGTCATTTAAAAATTTAATGGTATTAAAGAATGATTTAAATCTGAATTTTTTTCTGTGAGTTTAGTGAAATATCAGGGGTTATTGGTTTAGGATAAATATTTCTATGTTTAAGTTTTTGTAATTAGCTTCTGTTTAGAAAATGTGGGAATAAGTACATTTATAATTAGCTTTAAAAGACTTGCTTTGGAGTCCATTAGAACCAAAGTATTTCCATACTTTAATGTTTTCTTTCTGCTTGAACCATATACCATAACTAAAAATGGCAAGTAGAAGTTCAGTTAAGTGTTGTTACTGTAATTATTCCAACATAGGATCTTGCAAATAAGCCTGAAGTCAAACATTTCTTTTTTAAATAGTTACATGTCTTAAAATGGCATACAGAACTGTTGAATGTTTGTGAAGATAATTGATTGGTATAATGGGTAATGTGAGTAGGGAATTTTGCATGTGGGGAGTTAGTGATTTCAGTCTGCCTTACTTTTACAAAATGAAGTGTTTTAATATCTCCTGGTTTTTTAAATGTGCAGAGGTGACTAAAACTTGATGGATACTGTATGACTACTGTTAATAATAATGGATAATTTGTTATTATCCCAGTAGATTGGACATTTCCAGGTCAGAGTAGTCTAAAGAAAAAGCCTTTGACAACCCTAAGGGAGAATGATTCAGTTCAACAGACGGTTTTTGAGTTCTTTTTTATTAAAAAAACATAAAGATTATGAGCTAGTACAAGAGACACAGATAAAATGCATGTATGTCTCTTTTACCAAGTAGTGAAACTGCCTAAGAGCAGAATGTGATGATTGCTGTAATTACTGGTACAGATTAGGTACTTTGGGAGCATGGTGGAGAGGAATGTTAAATTCTGACTTAAGACTTGTTACTTTGAAACTGTGGCAATTTTGAAATTGGGCTCAAAGAGTGATTTAAAATGTTATTAAGAGATTTAGAAGGAGAGTAATCTAAGGGGCACCATAGTTTTGGAAAATAAAGTAGGCTTTGGCAGGTGTGTGACTTAGCGTGTGTAACAGGGTGATTATTCTAGTTGTGTAGTTTAGCTGTTTTGTATAGTGTTTGAGTGGGAAGCTGAATACGGACTTAATTCCTTTTTAAATATGGAGCATTTTCTTTATTTCTTTAAGTCTTTGAGCCAAAGAGTGATTTCATCACAGCTGTAAGTTTGGGCAGAAAATGGATGCCTTTCATTTTTTTAGCATGTTAAACATTAGATAATATAAAATGTATAGCCTTTCAGGAAAACTGCTTTTTGTATTTTTCCTCTTGCAGATAAGGCTCAGTTACTTGAAATAGCCAAAGCTAATGCAGCTGCCATGTGTGCTAAGGCTGGTGTTCCTTTACCACCAAACCTAAAGCCTGCACCTCCACCTACAATAGAAGAGAAAGTTGCTAAAAAGTCAGGAGGAGCTACTATAGAAGAACTAACTGAGGTAAGCTAGACAGAATTTGTTTTCATTCTTAAATGGATTACTCCAGTGATGTTGACTCTGGAGCGTGCCAAAAACCTGAATTGTGGGCTGAACTGATAATGGCTGGCACCGAGTGGCCAAAACCCGAAATACAGACGTGGCAGCGGCAGAAGCTCTGTTTAGCAGGCCATTATCCGGGATGGCTAAGCTCCGCTAGCTAAAAGTTACTTCCCATTACTTTTGCTTTCCAGTTTTAGAAGCCAAACTGACTGAGGAGTGGGACGGTTCGTTTGAATGGAGGAGGTGTTGAGTGAGCAACACGCAGAAGCTCGCCTACAGTTTCGTTTCCATTCACGACGCTGTTCACTGATCGCCACGAGTGTACTGCATATACGCAAAGACACAGACAATCTTCAGAAATGATCTTTTGCCACCGGAGCTTGGAAATTAATGAGAATAGCTGGCCATTGCCTGAAAGGAACTTCTTTCGCATCAACATTTCGGGTTTTGGCTGTTTGGTACCAGCCATTGGTGATAATGGCCGGCCATTATCAGTTCTTCCTGCGGTTCGGGTTTTGGCAGTAACATATATATTTTAAACACAATTATTTTTGTTTTTAAGAATTTGATCTTTTCAATTGAGGCTTTTTTTTTTGGTCCTTTGGCTTTGTTTTATTAAAATTTGTGTTTTTGTTTTTTTGTTTTTTTTTTTTTTTTTTGGAGGACGCTGAAATATTGCTGCTAGGATCCAGAAATACCACACTGTTTCAGATATTGAAACTTGTTATTGGCTAGCCTTATGCCAGCCTGCCACTGTCAATATATTCTGTTCCCCTTGGTTACAAGCTTGGTATACTCTGTGTTTTTGGCTAAATGAGCTTTTTATCCTATTAAAATATTTTCAATTGATAAGGGATATGATAAATTCTACTGCTTGTATAGAGACAAGTCCACCCAAATTTACTCTGACCTTTTTATAAAGCCAGATAATGGGAGTCTGTTCCTTTGCTTCTCAAGGAGGAATTGACTTTGCTTTATGTGTCAGACCTCATCATTGCACCCTCTCCATCATGCCTTATATTCCATCCTTGAGTTCTGTTCCTTTAGAGACTCAACCTATAAAACATTTATGAAAAGACATGCTATTATCTAGCCCAGTTGCAAGTGTTTCAAATTTTATTTAGCCATACATTTGGGGATTGTGTAGTTTCTTAATATCTCTCCTTACTTAGATTTACTACAATATGAATTACAACTTTTTTTTTTTAATGTTTAAGGACCTAGTGAAGGCTTCTATTGCTTGCTTATCAAATCCAAGCTCCTTATCCAAAACCTTATGAACACTTAGTGATTCCCTATATATTTTAGCCTCATCTTCAGCCCTCTTATCCCTTTTAATAAGTTTTCTCTCACCTCTTTACCACTACCTGACTATCGAGTGACTTTCTTTTCCTTTCCTGCTAATCCTTTTTCTTAACTATGAAAATCTGGCTTAGAACTTTCAAGGAATATTCCTTGGTTATCAGATTCTGCCTGATTCTGTTCTCTTAGGCTTTTGTTCTTTGAGCACTTATGTACTCAGTTTGTATTATATCAGTTTGCACTTGTTGCCTGTGTTGCTCTGTAAAGGCGCCCCTCAGTTATCTCATGTGTATGTACTCCGTCTTTTGAACTAGACTGTAAGCTCCGTGAGAGCAGGGACCATGTCTCTTACTGTATGTTTTGTATTCCCTGGACAGTGCCCAGTACAGTGCTCTGCACATAGTAGGTGCTCAATAAATGTTGTTAACTGGCTGACCAGCTAGAGTGTGTCTAAATAAGTAGTGAGCTAAGTCACCCAGCGATAATCTGTCATTAATCTTGTTTCACTTTTGAAAGTTGGTTTTATGTGGTTTTGAATTTAAGAAATTATGTGTTATTCTACATAAAGTGTAAGATTTATCTTCTGTTTGTTTTTACTTTTTAAGAAATGCAAACAGATTGCACAGAGTAAAGAAGATGATGATGTAATAGTGAATAAGCCGCATGTTTCGGATGAAGAGGAAGAAGAACCTCCTTTTTATCATCATCCCTTTAAACTCAGTGAACCCAAACCCATTTTTTTCAATCTGAATGTGAGTATTAATGTTTTTGAAACTGGTGAAACAGCACAGCTTATAGAACTATTTAAGGAAAACTGATATAATATTTAGTTTTTAATTTAGGTTAAATACTGTGAGAAAGTCATTTTCAGATTATGTTGAAAATCTGTTGAGTTTTAATTAAGAAAAACATTATGTTTTTAGATTGCTGCAGCAAAGCCAACTCCACCAAAAAGCCAGGTAACATTAACAAAAGAATTCCCTGTATCATCTGGATCTCAACATCGGAAAAAAGAAGCCGATAGTGTTTATGGAGAGTGGGTCCCTGTAGAGAAAAACGGTGAAGAAAACAAAGATGATGATAATGTTTTCAGCAGCAATTTGCCCTCTGAGGTAAGTAAGAGGACTATTATGTATTTTTCCTTTTATATACCTGAATCTGCATTTTATTGTTATTTTATATCTGATTTGGATTCTGTTTCACTCTTCTTAGGGCCGGGTTAAACGGCAGGGCCGGGTTAGACGACAGATGAAACAACCCGCAGCTTCTCATTTGACAGTAACTCGATGCAATTCACTTTGTGGAACCAAGCCACAAAGTGAAAAGCATCGAATTGCAGAGAACAGTGTTATCACATCCCTACCCAACATTGGGCCCTCCTTGCACTTGTGGGAAGGTAGCCCAAGGTACAACTATTTAGCTTCCCGTTTTGCTTCAAGGCTCTATAGCTCTAGATTTTGGTGGTAGCAAATTTATTGGGTGGAGGGATTTGAGTAGAGAGAGGCAGATCCTCAGGTTCAACACAAGAACTGGATTGGAAAAGGTCCCTGTAGGCTGATGTGAGCATCTCGGATACATAGCCTGTTGCCCTTTAAATAATGCTTTCTTACTATATTTTTCTGGGTTGTTTGTCAGATAGCCTTTAATTTTAATCATTTTCCCCTTCTGTGTGCTACCTTGGCCCTTTTGAATTCTTGTGTTTAACCTAACGCTCAGCCTTGGTATTCCATTTCCCTTCTCCTTCCCCTTTTTGCTACTATTAAAAGTTGGAGAAGTGGAATTCACACCTTGAAATTTCCAGGAGGCTATAGTTGTATCTTGTCAAAATGACGCAGTAATAATGCTAAGTGTCAAAACAGCCCCATTAAAATGCCGCCTGATTAAATAATGTGCTGCTAAATATAGTGCACATGAAAACAGCAAGACTGTATATATATGTAAATATATATATATATCTGTATCTTTGTATGTATCTCTGTATCTGTACCTTTGCTGTATCTTTTAATAAACAGTTTACTTTTATTTAACTTGTTGTGCAAAATCACGCTTGGGGGATCTGGGAGGGTGGAGACTTACTAGGGGGGTGGGAGTTTTAAATGATACAGTAGACTAGTCATCACCTCTTGCCCTTGGTTTCCAAAACCCAGACATTCGTCCAAGGACTGGACTAGATATCTGATGCCCGTACAGTGTAGGGATTCTTCCCCAGTTCTTACCCTTGCCATTCTGGGATATGTGGATCCAGAGAGACCTGTGCTCTTCACCTTACAGGTTCCCCTTATTGGCCATATAATCATCATCCAGTAAACACCTCTGATAATACAAATAAACAAATTCTGTTTATAAAATTAAAAGTGAACAGAACCCAAATCAGAAACTATGGTAGTGTTTTTTCCCCTGAGCTATTCACAGGAGACATTGTTTTTTTTGTTTGTTTTTGACCTGTGGCATTTGGAAAAGAGAGCACGTTCTGTACAATGACATTGGACATAACTAGCCAGTGCAACTTACAGTCACTGGTGATATTTACATGAGATTCAACAACTGAAGCAAGGTACACCATCACCAGTGAAGGAGAGACAGATAACTTACTTGGACAATTTTTAGTGAAGCCAGTTGAGTAGTTCACTTGCTGATTTGCAAATCAGGCTACTGCACATCTCAAGAGGGAAAGGTTAACTGACATTGATAACTGACTTGAATCTAGTAATAGCTGAGCATAAACCATGGTAAGAGGGCTAAACTGACTGAGAAATTCTAATACACATACTTTTAGTAATTTCTTAAACATTAAGCATTTAACAGAGTTAGGAAAAAACATAAGGAGACATTTATATGAAAAAAATTTTCCAACGTGGTGAAGCCCTATAAATATTGCATAATTCCAAAAGATTTTCCTGGGAAAATAAGTGACTATAACTATTTAACTTCAAGACTATAACTATTTAACTTGAGTGGAACATGGGAAGGATGCTTAGTGAATCCTGGTGATTACAGTTCTTGTTGATTAAGAGTTTATATATAAACGTGTGTGTGTATATATAGATATATATATATTACAGTATTTAGCCGTTTTCAGTCTTAACACTGAAACTGTGGTGCCTTACGTTGTCTGTCATCAATAGTGGTTGTCAAATTTGAATGAAAAGTTGGGGCAATTACTCCAAAGACATCTGGGACCGGGGAGTAGGTGGGTATTAAGATTTTATAATAAGTAAAGGAGCCTTTTATTAAAGCAGGAGACAAAAAAGTTCTATTCATGAAGCAGATTTCTCCTGTGGGGGAGATTATATACAACTATTGCTATCAGAACTCTAAGCTAGTTTCTTAGACAATTAGACTAAAAAATATGTGTTAACTTTAATTTCAAGTAAAACAATCCCAAAATTTTAGGAAGGGACAGAAATTTGCTTTTGTTTGCAGGTCTGTGTACTTTTACCTAGAAGTAATATTACCTTTAGAAATAACATCTAAAGGTTGTTCACTGTATGAAATGTTTAGTTCTAGTTATTTAGCTGTATCTTACAAATAAGTAAGATTAATGTTCTATATTCTAATGTTTGTAGAATACTATTGGTGACATTTTATGGGAGCATTGAGTCTTGATTCCCTGTCGGGGTTGAAATAAAGATTTTATGTAGAAAAGGAAAGTTCTTTTTAAATGGTCTATATTTTAATTGAATAGTGCTTTGAATTCTGTTATTTTTTCATTTTAATAAATATAATTGGAATTTGTGGTTCTTTAGTTTTGAGCGTAAAACATTCAGGCAAAGATCACAGATTTGATCTCAGCTTTGCTATATGATCCTTAATCCCACCAATTGTGCACGTGAGTGCTCTTTGACATAAGTAAGAGTGACTAGACGTGGATGGATCAACATAAATCCGTATCTTATGGAAATACCAACTCATCACACTGTGGGCTCTGCTGCCATAGCATCGTCTTCCTACCCAGAAGCCAACCAGCGTCGTCCTCAGTAAAGAGTGACTGCAGAACCTTGATCATATCTGTGTGAATTTTGATTTATAAACAATGAAACCAAAAGTGTTGGAAAACAGTTTAAAACTTGTCCTTTGGGGGCATTAATTCTTGGTAATAAAGATAGCAAAGCCTTATGGGGTAGAGGATATAAGTGTAGTCTCTGGCATAAAATTTCCTTACTTCATGTCTCAGTGGAGCTAAAATTCCCTTATGGTTAGGAACTCTATTTTTGAGGTTTAAGAAAACTGAGTTCTTGTGGTAAAATGAAAATTTTAATTGAAAATGAAACACACAGGTTTTGGCAGTGCTAGAATGTGTTATGCACAGCTTTTTTATTCATTCTTCTCTCTTTAGATTCTCCCAGGTTATTAAAATGGAATTTTTTAATGATTTAATGTTTTATCTAATCCTCCAATTACTGTAATTCATTTACATGTAGTAAACTAAAAATTGCACTAGAGAATTTTATGTGAAATAATAAAAGACTCATAAATCAGTTTTTAAAACCAAGCCACTTAACTCCTGAAGCATTCTGTATTTAGTGTGCATTTAGCACAGTGTATTAGCACACAAATACAGAATATTTAGCATTCTGTATTTGTATATATAGTTGTCATTTACTTTGTATTTTATTAATTTTTGCTAAATATTTTAAATCATGTTTTGTATGCAGGCTAGGTGCTTTTTCTTTAACTCTCTTTACTTAAAAATTTCCTTTTATCATCTTTTAATTGGAAATACCTGCAATTTCTTGTGTAGAAAGTAATTTGCCTTTTACAGGTACTATTTTTTTCCTTACCTGAATGACCACCTTTTAATAATTCTCATTAGTTCTTTTATAGCCTTTCATTGACTTAAGAATTATTTTAGACAATTGTTCGATTTATGTAAATAGTTGGGTTAACACAGGGGGAAGGTAAATTGACTTAGAAGGGTTTTTAAAATAAGGAAGATGAAGATGCACAGTTAATAAGTTAGGTTGTGAAATGCATATTACAGTGTCAGTTACATTTGTGTTTTATTAGTCCTGAGAACATTTTAGGTTACAGAAATAGTAATCTGCTCTGTTGCTGAAGTGGAGGGGTGAAATAACTTGGACAGGTTTTTATTGATGTGTGAACTGGAATAATAATTCAGGATACTCTTTTTATGTGGATTTCACCTTTTATAACAAGCCCTAGGGAGAAGGAAATAAAACATTTCCCCCCATCATGATGCCTAGAATATAACTACACATTACATAGACGGTCTATTGTGTATTAGTGGAAATAAATTTGCTTTGTTGATGATAGCTTGATAATAGTGTTCTGCAGGGTTTAAGATAATTCCCACTCCCCCCTCCCCCAGACTTTGTAGCATTCTAAAACTTTTAGCATCATTTTGGTTCCTTTCACACTTGACTGTTTTTGAGCAACATTAAGTTAAGACTCAAACTCTGCTATGTATTATAGCCTGGTAGTGGTGGTATAGTTGTGTATGACTTAACGACTCCATGGACTGCACATTGCCAGGCTCCTCTGTCCATGGAACTTCTAGGCAAGAAGACAGCAGTGGGTTGCCATTTTCCTTCTCCAGTAGTTGTTCTATGCTTTATATATACACATACAGATCCTATGCAGTCCAGTACAATAGTCATTGAGCCACTGAGAAGTAAGTTCTTTAATTGCACTAGGCACATTTCAAGGGCTCGTTAGCTTTCACTGTAAAAGTTCTCCAGGACAGTGCTGTTCTAAAGGGTAGCTGTGATGTTTTATAAGTCTCTTAATACTGATTCAGAACTTTGGTCTAATCTTCGAATATTAATGTTTTGAGAATTATAGTTGGTTTTTTACTGCATATCCTGAGCTACCCTGGCAACTTGGATGTATGCTTTTTGATATAAACTCTTGAGGATTCTTAAGAGATTAAGATAATCCTGATTGATCCTATTTTGGGTATGTTTCCTCACATTAAAAAGTATGAACATGAAATTAATAGTCAAATTACTATTTGTTAATAAAGTTTTGACATGAACTTACAGCTCACTTGGTAAGCCTGTTGAATAAATGAAGTAGTATTAGGAAGAAAACTAGTTGTAATTTTATCTAAATTTATATTAAATCTCAATGTTGCTATATTAAATAAATACTATTTAAATAAATAAAAGTTCCTTTCAGAGTGAGATGTGAATTTAACATAAAATACTGAGATTTGAATGAAGTTTCATCCTGAGGATAAATGATGAGGTATTTAGGTTACCTGCTTGCTTAATAAAGGTTAAAAGAGTAAAAAAAGTATGAAGATACAAAGTGTCTTCAGAAGGATGAAGTCACAGATAGGTATGTTAATTTGCTTTCCATTTGGGAAGAAGTGATTTTATTTTAGAAAAGTTGGAATTTTCAGAGCCATCTTAACTACATTTTTATGGCTAATTTACAGTTAGAAATTGAGGGATCAGAGCTTGGCTTGGTGGTGGGTAGGTACATTTTCCCTAGTTTCTCCTCTGAATTTCAACGTTTTAGAATTAAAACCTATTATTTATACCTGAATACCCCTGCTTAGATTTGTAGATGAGTATGAAACCCACAGTAATTCTGGCAAAGTTAAAGAACAGTATTTCACACATATTTTATGGGCCTCCAAAAATTACTTCATCATCTTCCCTTACAGGTTTATGAAATACCTACATCTTACCTGACAGGTTTATGAAATATCTAAGGCCAAAAAAGAATGTGATTCTAATCTAAAAATCTCTGGATTCCCACTTTAAAAGTCACAGTGGGTGATCACAGTTGTAATAGAAGTGAAAAGTGAGCATACTGTGTTTTTTAGTGTTTCAGTCTGCCTTTACCTGTATATCCCCAGAAATATTCCAGTTAGTGTGGATAAGTTAACTAAGAAATTAGGGTCTTTTATTAGTGAGATCTGTGAGCAGTCTGATTACAGAATAAATTCAGTTTAATTCTGCTTTCATTTTAAGATGACAGATATATATAGAAACCTGTACTTTTTGGTACCTTGTGGAAGAAAATTTTAATTTTGCTAAAGGAATGATGCTAGGTGATTCAGCAAGATACGAATAGTGAAGGTAGGAAAAAGGAAGATTAGTAATCCTTATGCGTGAGATAGAATTATTCTCTAATAGTCATTTACTCTTAATTATGTAGGTCTTATTTTTAAAAGAAGTATTTCATATTCAACTATACAGTCAAATTACAGGTTGCCTTAGTTTGGCTTTTTAAAAAAAACTTTCATCTGTTAACTTATTTTAACTGACTTATATTTGTCACACCCATGCAGTTGCTACTAGTTATTCTTTTTATATGAATTTAGGAAAATCCTCACATGTCAGATAGCTATTTTCCAAAAATGAATTTTCTTGGATGAGATACTAGAAAATATTAATGGGTTTAGTAGTGTTAGAAGAAAAACAAGTATTAAGACTTCGTGAGTTGACACAAATCATCCTGAGCTCTTAATGTTAGAACTGAAAAGCATCAAATACTTGATTTTTTTTCCTTCTATGGTTGAGCCTTCCACAAATTTGGTAAATAGGATATTTGGTCTAAAGATAATCCTTGAAGTTTTCCTGGATATTCTGAAACTTAAAAAGTTGCATCTGCTTAGCATAAGCTTTTTACAGGTAGAACATGAGCACTGAAAAGGAGGACCTAAGGCATTTCAAACATACTTGAAGTGTTCCAATTTAATAATTGTGTACCCCCACAGAAATATTCTAACTTCGATCATCAGTGTACATATTAATGAGTTAAAAACCATGTATAATGAATATATTCTTTGAAGAAGCTGAGTTCTTTGTATCAGACTTAATGAACAACTACAAGTAGGTGAAAACATGCAGACATCAGTAAAGGAGTGGTGTTTGACATGGCAGTGGTTTTCTGCTTGCTTATTTAAGAACCTTGCTTATTGCCTCTGAGGGCTGTGCTGAGAAGCAGGATAAAATGAAAACTCCAATAATTATTTCGTTAGTGAAGGCAAGAGTTAAGTTCTTCATGAAACTTTCTCTGATTGTAGTTTGATGTAGTAGAAAATAAGAAAGCAGTTGGCTTTTGGATTGAGTTCATCTGCTGCCTGATACTTTGTAACTTACCTTAAACAATCCATATCTATTTTCCAAGGTTATTTTACCTTTTAGAGTCTTCTCCCTGCTTTACAAAATTATATATATATATATATATATATACACATTTTTATATATGTGTATATACAGAATTTTATATACAACTGGTTTTTGACATGAAGCAACTAAAGATGTGAGCATTTTTCATAATTTAGGGAGTCTTTGGTTATTTGAGATAATTATCTATGTTTTCTTTCTTAGCCTGTGGACATCTCTACAGCAATGAGTGAACGGGCACTTGCTCAGAAAAGACTCAGCGAGAATGCATTTGACCTTGAAGCTATGAGCATGTTAAATCGTGCTCAGGAACGGGTATGTAGTGGTTTCAGTATCTAAATGATAATTTCACTAACTAGAGGGTTGTGACATAAGTAAACTCTGTGGCATGCTGTTGACATGTAGGTCTTTGAAAATCATTTATCTAGCAAGCTTTCTTTACGTGAAAGTGATTTGGGGCTTGATTATTAGTAAATGTTGTGTACTATGGGACAGGAACTATTTGAGAGAATAAAAATAGAAAAAATTACCTGCCTTCATAGAGTTTGTAATCAAATATATAAAAATAATAGCTAAGTACCTTGAGTTTGCATTTAGAAAGAGTGACTTAAGTGAGGCCCAAGGTCACAAAATTAGTAGGGGAACTGGGATCTGAACCTAGACAGTCTGAATCCAGTCTGTGTTTTTAACAGTGGACAGCTGCTCCATACATTCTCTTTCTATGGTAAATATATGGGGACAGTAAGTACATGTTCAGACAAGTAGAAAATACCGCCTGACAGTTCCAAGTGTTCAGTAAATATACTTTGAATGAACGACAGCTAATTCTTTAACCATCACAGTGTTTGAGTGACCAGTTTCCTATATTATGTTTTAAGCATGTATCTTGAATTGATTTTTGATTTATAACACTTCAGAGAAAGTAATTAAAAATTGAGGCTATCAACATTTATTATGGATTTATGAGATATGTAAGGAGGGCAAGGATCCTTTACCATGTGAACAATTTTCTGTATATTTTCATGTATCTGTGTGATATTTTGAAGAAAAGTATCACAGCCATGCTTTTCAGTTGTTAGATATATATTTTAAGTTTTGTTATTATTAATGGGATCCACTGAACGGTTACTGAACTGCTTTGGAATGTTTAAGAAAACAGTTTTAAAAGATATATGTGAATTCAGTATATGTATTTTTTAAAGTTAAATATTTAAGTCTGTTATTTAGTCTTTGTGGGAACCAAATAAACCACTTCATTTAGAGAATTAATACCAGTCGCATTAACTAGAAAGGTAATTTTACTTAATTGAGGCATTTTTTCTTCAGATTGATGCCTGGGCTCAGCTGAACTCTATTCCCGGCCAGTTCACAGGAAGTACAGGAGTGCAGGTTTTGACACAAGAACAGTTGGCCAATACTGGTGCCCAAGCCTGGATTAAAAAGGTACACAACATATGCACATACAAAAGTGTCCGTGTACAAAGTTAAATTTTTTAAGAAAATGTTTTATTAAAAATGCACAAAGAAGCAAGTGAATTTAACTAAAGTTCATGAGTAAATTTGCTATGCGTATATACTCCAGGATGGACACTGAAGATGGATCGATCCCTGAGACAATGGCTAATGTATAAATATGGCTTAAGAGCCACTCAGTTTATATCCTGCTGCTCCTGGGTTTTGTGGGGGTGGTTTTTAAACTGTGTTTTGAATGCTAACAGTGTATCTCAGCGACTGTTCAGAATATTCTACAGTTCCTGTTGGACAACTGATCTTACGATTTCAAAGCAGTGGTTCTCAGATTTTTTCTCATCATGGGATACTTTATTACAGGTTCATTTTTGGTGAATCACTGCCCCCAAGAACCTTCTGCCACTTGGTTTTCCATTCCTTTATTCCTTTGCCCTTCTTTCCCCTTTGCTTAGTGCCCGTCCTTCCTGTAAGTGCCCTTGGCCCCTAGTCCTCACTCCTGTTGCAACCTCCAGCCCCAGGTCCATGTGGTTATCCGCTCGGTTACAGCAAGTGGTTGGGAGCCCCCGTCAGCACTGCATGTGGTGGTCTTGCCAGGGGACTAGAAGGATGGGAGGGGATGGCTGAAGTGTGGGGTGGGCGGTGCTGAAGGGTGGCGAAATTGGCTGGGATGTGGGTGGAGACGACTTATCTGTGGACCACCATTTAGGCCCTGGTGGCCTCTGGTGATCCACAGGTTCAGTTTGAGAACTACTGATTCCGTGAAAAAACAGGATATGTAAGACGTAAATGCGAGGGAGAGGACGGACGCCTCGCGCTGTGAAGATGTAGGTGCTCCTGGTTTCAGATCTCTGCAGTGAGACGTGTGAACTCCACCTACGGCTGCCTCGTTGCTGGGGGAGTCTTAGGTGGTCACCAAGGGCTTTCTGAAGAAACGGGCTCTGGCGAAGGGATGTGGCTTGGTTGGATGGGTGATGGGAAACTTTGTTTCAGGAGTATTGGCAGCATAGCAGTGCTGAAACAGGGAGGCTGCCTGGTCTAACGGATTGGGAAGGTTTCTTAATCGTGCTGTACTCCTGACTCCTGTTGTGATCGTGGCAAGTAATTACTTGGAATTTCAGTTTCCAAGTGCCTTCTTAACTGCCTCTCGGGGTGCTGATCGATGTCATGTCATGGGGATAGAAAACTGCTGAGTGCCAGTGAATGAGCTGATTTTTTCTGAAAAATCAGATTTTTGATTGCTTTGGACCTTTTAATCTCATAACATTTCTTTTTTCAATTTTGATAGCATTATATCTGGTGATCTTATTAACAAATTAATATAAAGCATACCCTTACTTTGCCTGCCCCCCTTTTTTGGAGCGGCAGAATAGTTGCACTGATATGTATGATACACTGTGGGTACATAGTCAGATTGGTTAAAAAATGAAAGTAGCTTACTAGGGGTTGGTGTTGGAAAAAAAAAGATGAAAATTAGCAAAATTAATTTTGGACTAATTACAGTATTTAAAATATGAAAGTGATTGATGTAGTGCTTGAAAAATGGCTTTCATCTCATTGGGAATAACTAAATGTACATAAATGTCTAACAATTTTAATTTAATACTATCTAATGGTGAAGCTGAATACTCCAAATTTCAGAAAGTTATACTTGAAGCTTTTATGGGTGTTTAGGTACATAATAATTGAATAGTCATGTACACTACTAGGTAGAAACTTAAGAATGTGATTCCATTGCAAAGTGCTGGTCTTCATTTGTACATTGAAGTTCTGATAGATATATATTGCTGAAGACTTCTAAACATCACATAACTTTTAAAATGATTAAATTGGGTTCCTCATAAACTTTCCTTTTTCTTTTTGATTGCTAGTCCTTGTAGACAGTTGGCAGATTTTAAATGATTTACATCATTTAAAGTAGCTGTAAATCATATTTCATAAGTTACCACAAGATAAAGATGTGTTCATTCATCGCACCAAATTTTTGAATAATTACAGAAAGTGCTTTCAGGAAACTTCTACTTGTGTGTTGCTGAAAAATACATGCTGCTAATATCAATTAAGGCAAGAATAATTTACTCAGAAAAATGAGCAAAAACATGGACAAAGTCATTAGGCAACGATAATATTCATTTTTGTGGTCAGATATCACAAACTACTTGTTTCATTTAGAAAACTTTCTCAAACGTTCATTCATACGGTGTTCCTTGCCTTGCTGTAGGGCAGCACCCTCTCAATGTTAAGGACTACAGGGAATGCCAGCATTCTCCATATTCTTTTAGTTTGCTGCAGTATACTCTTGGATGAAAAGGAATGAGTTTTATTAGTAGTAAGAAAAAATTCCAATGGTTGATTTGAAAGAACCTTTATTTTCTGAAATGATTTGGACATGACCTGATGAATATTGTTTACTATTGTAGTCTTACTAGATTAATTAGCTTTTTGTTGAACTGTATATACACCCTGGTGTAAAGAAACTTTTGAAGATAATAGCAAATGGAAACAAAATCTGAAACCTGCGTTATTTGGGGATTTGTGTTATACTCTGCACAGTTGCCCTTTTTTTTAGGAGTGTTTCCTGGAAAAGAGGGGCGGATGAACCTGAAAGTAAGTAAAAGTCATTGTAGGTGTGTAGAAACAAGGCAGTTGGTCCCCAAGCATCAGCTAACTTTTCTCTCTATACATCAACACTGCATGGCCTGCACCACGTCAGGAACTGAACCAGGGCTATGTTTGTACCTCCACAGCTGCTGCCTCCTTCCATCAGAGCACCGTGTTGAGCTTAATGTCTGGTCACATACCGTTGGCATGTCATACCATTGGCATGTTTCCTCCCCAGCTTATAATTAAATAGCTGGGGAGGGGGCGAAGTATACAGTTTTACTACTGTGTAAAACCAAAATTAAAAATTTAGTAGTAATTTATCAGTAGAGGAAGTGATTGTACTGTGTCCAGAGCTTCCAAAATATTTGACTCCCTCTGTTGATAAGTTAAATGACTTTTGCTTACATTTGCTAGAGAATCTAAATGTAAAATACTTAATAACACGGGGAAACAAGACATGATTTGGAGATTATATTTTAAATGTTTAGAAAATGACCATAAAGATCAACAGTAGAATTCAGTCGTTTATTACATATACATGGATGCCCTTTAAAAAGAGGCATCACTTAATTTCTTAACGGTGTGAAAACAATTGACTGTTGACCATGCTAATTATATAGTCTTTTACCTCCTATGACATTAAGTGGTTTGCTGCTTTGATGGAAATTATGGTTCAGTGGGTTGGATACAAGAGAGATGATTGTTCACAGAATAACCTGTGAACTTTCACCCCTCTGTATGGAAACTTGTTTCAGGGCCAAATCCTTGTAGCTGTCTTCTTGCCCCGGTCAGTGCCAGCCCTACTATTCACAACACTGCTGCTACCGAGGCCTAGGTATGTAAACGTTTAAGGAGTTTTTTAAAAGTCTTTTAACATCAAGCTAGGTTTTAAAAGAATTCAAATTCAGTTTGGTTTAATTACAGGGTATTGTATGTGTTATCTTTTTGCTTCATAGGGATTTTCTAAGTAAAATATTTATACTTATGGTAGATTGGGGGAAAAAGCTTTGGATGATAACAGTATGCTGCTTCAGTGTTCAAACTATTTCTAAATGATGGCTGGGCTTTATTCATTAACTAGGTACACCTGGGACAATTAATATTATTGACTGTTTTAACATTGCCTTCTTTTTATTTTGCAAGCTAAGAAGAGATACCAGTGAACCTAAATAGTGGACGAAAACAGGAGTGTTCTTTTTTTTTTTTTTGGAGGGGGGCACAAGGGCCACTGTTTTAAAACTGCCATTCGACTTATTTGACTTTTAAAATACTGTTATGTTTATATGAAAATAATTTAGAACATACACACTACAGTATGTATATAAGTATAGAAGCATTTAATTGCTATAACAGATCTAGAAGTAAAGTAAGCTTTCTTTCTTGAAAAAGTTACACTGAGTTTGTAGCCAAATTCTAACTATAAAATGGGGATATTTTACCTTTCTTTCTTTGGATAGGATCAGTTCTTAAGAGCAGCCCCAGTAACTGGAGGGATGGGAGCCGTTTTGATGAGGAAAATGGGCTGGAAAGAAGGAGAAGGATTAGGAAAAAACAAAGAAGGAAATAAGGAACCTATCCTAGTTGATTTTAAGACAGATCGAAAAGGTAAGATCTTTTATTTTTTGTAGAATGTTTATTCTACCTCCTTTAACATTTAGGGTTTCATTACTATTATAAATTCATAAGTTCTTCTGATGTCAGGGATCTGGAACTGGGGGCACTTCTTATAGTACATATAGTTAGGAAAAAAATGTTTAACCCATTTTGAAAGCTTTGTACACATAGTAGGTGGAGTCGCTAATTTTGAGGGTAAAAGGCAGCCTTTGTTAATGTGTAATACATGATTTAGGCTTTTAATTAGATTTCATATTTAGAAAGTAACTATGTTGCCATTTTGTTCTATATTGGAGTGAATTTATTATAATATTGTTACTCAAAAATAGACTAGAAATAACACAATCCTATAATGTAGTACTAGTGCAAACATTAATTTAGAAAGAGAAATTGAATGTCACACTGACATTGTACTGCTTTTATACAGGCTGAATAGATTCTTTGTTAACAGAGGGTAGTTTATTGGTAGAAAACATCTGTGGGAACACTGCATAATTCTAGGGAATAGTCCTTTGGAATTGTGCAGCATGGCCTAGTTTTGGGAAAGCATAGTGGCAGAATTTGTGAAGAATTCTCCCTAGGCTAAATGGAAAGCATTGATTTTAGATAGTAATATAGCTAAGCCCCTTTTGGAAAGGGAGGCCGAGGCTGGCATCTCTTCAGTACATATCACATTTGAAGTCAGAAAGGGCTTGTTTGCTGGAAAAAGAAATGGAGAGAGCCTTTTTACTTTTCCCACTTGTTTTGGCCTAAAGTCCTTGAATTTGGGGGAGCATACTTAAACTGAGCATCATTTTTTAAGGGATGAGAAACCTTTAGAAATCACTTGCGAATAGCCACTCTTTTTTGGCCACTAGTTTTTAAGCAGATCTAGAGCAGTTAATTATGGCAATTTATATATGTATTCACATATTGTTTTTCTGAACATTTTTATAGTTTCTAATAAGATAAATGAAGTTTGGATATATGTATAGAAATGTCAAAACAGATTTGTGTAGAAATGAAGAGTAGGGAGTGTCTGTTGAATATTCTGTTTGAGGGCATGGATTGAGGTTAAGGTTCCTACAGAGGGAGTAGTTGTTTTGCCATATTATAATTTTAAATGTTTTGAAATTTATTCATTGATCGTTGATTTTTTTTTTTTTTTTTTTTTTAAGGTCTTGTTGCAGTAGGGGAAAGAGCACAAAAGAGGTCCGGAAACTTCTCTGCTGCAATGAAAGATCTGTCAGGTGAGAGTATGATTTTGAATTTCCTCTTGTCCCACCCTCCCCTTGAATTCATAATTTGTTGCCACAGATGTGGAGATAATTGTTTATTTTTTTTCTCTGCAGGCAAACATCCTGTGTCTGCCTTGATGGAAATCTGTAATAAGAGAAGGTGGCAACCACCTGAATTTCTCTTGGTCCATGATAGTGGCCCTGATCATCGCAAACATTTTCTCTTTAGGGTAAATATGAATTTTTGCATTAATTGTATACATCAGTTAATTTGATAACTTAATGTTAGAGGGTGAGGGATCAGCATTCTGTGATCACAGGGTAATGTTTCTGGGCTGGGAGTGTGAATATGTGTGGGTAGAGTGGTAGAAGTTATAAACATTTAAGTATGCTTCCCTAGTTTCAATATTGGAGGGAAAGATGTGGGCACAATCTGGTGAACAATTTGTTGACTTTTTCTAGTGGAACATGGGGAATTAAGTAGTTTTTAATCAGGTTTTTTCTTTCCCTTCAATTTGGAGACCTGCTTTTAAATTTGCAGTCCCTTTTCCCAGATGATTTGCTTCTCTTGGGTTGAGATTAGACTCACATAGTATGGGTTTTGTAAGTTATTTTTCTAGCATTTAGTGAAAAAAATACAAAGCTAATAGATAATAAAGTTTGATGCTGTTCTTATTGTATGTTTTTCTTGAATAGGTATTGAGAAATGGAAGCCCTTACCAGCCCAATTGTATGTTTTTCTTGAATAGGTATTGATAAATGGAAGCGCTTACCAGCCCAGCTTTGCCAGCCCTAATAAGAAGCATGCTAAAGCCACAGCAGCTACTGTGGTTCTTCAAGCAATGGGCCTTGTACCAAAGGACCTCATGGCTAATGCCACTTGCTTCAGGAGTGCCTCACGTAGATAGATTGAGGTTTTATATTAATCATTTCAGATAATTTTACTCTGCATCAAAATGTATTTCCTCTTTAATGTTGTAAATATTTGGCAATTTAAGACATTGTGTAAAAAAAGCAATCTGTACAAACATCTCCAGGCTTTGATTTTTGTACCATGGAAATTGTATTTAACCATACAGGGTTTTGGTATGTTTATATTGTTTACCTTAGTGATGTATTTGTTTAAGTGGCTAACATCCAAACGACTGTTTGAAGGCATCCGTAATCTTCAGTGTGGAATGTTAAAAATAACGCTTTTATACTGTATTTTGTACTATGATGTAACTCCCCTTCCTTATGGCTAGGCTGCTGTAACACTTGCCTGTAATCAGTGAAGGGCTGTGCACCTTGTACTAGTTCACAATGGGTTCTGCTGGACAGATACTGGGCCAGTGTTATTGCGTTAATCAAGCAAGATCTGTTCCGCAGGGCTAACGCCACCACCTCCCCTTTCAAATTTTGTAGAGGTTATGAAAAAGACAGTGGTTGTTGTGTGACGATGAGCACTGAGTCCTGCGTTTCTGTCAGAGCCACTTGGGCCGTGATGAGAAGGGAGTAAAAATGAAGTCTGAATAGAATTTTACCGCAGAGGCCAAGTACATTTAGTATGGCATTGAGTTGTGATATAGTTTTACTTTGATGTGCATTTTGAATTTCAGCTACACCTAGATAGACGTAAAATGATAATTAAAATGCTGTAACCAACTTATCTAATAAAATCGGCACCCAGCCACTATTTTGTTGACTATGAGAAAGTTTAAGTTTATGTTAATTTTTAGGGTCTGATAGAATATTTCATGTGTATTACAGTGGTATTCATATGCTATGTCTCTAAACTTTATTTTCAAAAGCTTAAGGCCCAAATATAAACTTCTCTGGAATAAATGTGGTGTTTTATTTTCTGGATTACAAAGTGAACACATAATTCTTCTCTAATGTTACTTCTTTACCCAATGCTTTTGATTTCTAAGCACTTTTATTTAAGAAAATTTTAATTATATATGTATATATATACACACAGACACACAAATAACCTACAAGAACATATTAAATACTGCTTTGTCATGACAGCTGAGCAAACTTTACAACCCTTGACCCTATTCTATACGAATATAAAATACCCTAATCGGAATGAACATGCATTAAAACAAGTATTTGAGAACAGAGGAATCATAAACAGGCAGGAAAACAAGGCAGAAGCACCATCAGTCAGCTCAGATAAGCTGTCTGTCTCCTAAGTCAACTGTTAGTTTTGCCCCAATGCTGTTACAATGTCTCAAGATAATTGATACTAAGCCTCAATTTCCATTTGCAATGAAACACTCATTTTTCTACCCAGTTTATAATTAGATTAATGGATCTAGAATTTTCATTCAAGCTTTAAATAAGTTTTATCTTCATATCTGAATAGTGAATCAAAAGAGTAAAAACAAAATGATTTTAAAACCTTAATCCTATTTTTATGCTTAGTGCATGTAATAAAAAGTTACTGTGAAAGGTTAATATTTGTAAACATCTGGATAACTTCCAAAGTGAACTTTAAAGCCAAAGGTATAATAAGAATCTTGGAATTTCCTTGCTAGAAGGGTTTTTTCCTCACAGATTCCTTTTAGGCTTACTTTGGTGTTCAGGATCTCCAATTATAAATGTAGTCACTCATTTCCACATGCCGTAAGGACAATTTCCCCAGTATCGGTGTTTGACAAAGGTGGTCCAGAGTTTTAGGGTGCAATCCACAGTTGGCAAGCTCCTCGTGAATAGCCTCCTGTGAAAATTTGTAAGGAACTCAGTAAAAAGCATGAGTATGAACAGATGAGTTTTTAAAATTACCATGGGGTCTTTGACAGATGCCTCATTCATGATTATAAAGGCAAATTTATCATGATCAATAGCTCACCCTGAGAATTTCTACACAATGGCAGCATCCCAAAATACTAGTTTTGGTTATTTTTATAAGTGGCTAACTGATAAGTTTAAAAGGTCTTATAAATAAAAATCTACATGTTCAAAATTAAAGGTAAATATACTTGTTTTTAAAATGTGTGGGATACATATCTAGAAACTTCTGTATCACCTGAAACTTAACAAGTAGCTATTCCCCCCCCTGCATCTAAGAAAAATTTAAACATGGAAAAAAGGCACAGGGGTTAAGTAACATCCATAATTATTAATCTTCCAATAATAATTTATAAAAGGAATCAGGTACTGTTAAGTTCTGCATCCAAAAGGACAATGAAAATAATGTGCCTTTTGTTAGGGAAGTTCTTTAGTAAATGTTTCCTACTACAGCGTGAATTCATAGAATTTATCTCCTCAAAAAAACTAAGTCATTTTCCCCTTCCTTTTGCTAATTAATACTTAGTACAGTTTAATAACTTAGAACACCAGTTTGGCTCATCACAAATGACTGATTTCCTCCATCCATGTAGTTTGAGGGCTTCTCTGATAGCTCAGTTGGTAAAGAATCTGCCTACAATGCAGGAGACCTGGGTTCAATCCCTGGGTTAGGAAGATCCCCTGGAGAAGGCAAAGGCTACCCACTCCAGTATTCTGGCCTGGAGAATTCCATGGACTTATGTAGTCCCTGGGATCGCAAAGAGTCAGACACAACTGAGCGCCTTTCACTTTGATGTAGTTTGAGAAGACTACAACTAAATTTCTTCACCAGCTGTCTACTTACCTTATCTAGTACTTCATCCTTTGGTGGGCAGATGTTAAATACAGCAGTTGGCTCATGTGTGTACAGTCCTGCAGAAAACGACCCATTCTGTGAAGACTGGAGTAGCATCGTCACAGAGTGTAGAGAATGAGGCATAATGGGGCCTGTAATCTCCAAGCTAAACTGATCTCTGTATCCAGAAAGAGCTTGTGTCTTCACATTGACACTTCGAGCCTTCAAGAAAATTTTAAAGAAAGTTATGGTACCATCTCTCAAGCTTTTGTCCCCAGTTAAAAATGTGATCAATAACTTCTCATTTGGGCATCCCTCTCTAACAGTTAGGGGACAAAAGTAGTTTATAAGGTCCACCACAAGAAAGTTTCATGAGTAAACCTGTTCAGAAATTCTCAGCTTCCAGCATCCTCTCCTCCAAATTATTAGACTGTCAATGGAAGTACTAGTTCTAGGGAAAATAACTTCCAGTAATGGTATCCTTTGTGATTTATTAACACACAGTCAATGCATAATATTAGGAAAATAAAAATTAAGATTCTGTTGCTGTTGTTCACCATGTAATTCACATCAAAACTGCATGTGTATTTCTTCAACAATATGGAAACAGTTTCTTTTCACTTAACCATGATCCAGTTTTTGAGACCTCCTATAATTAGAACATGGGGCTTCCCCCATGGCTCAGTGGTAAAGAATCCACCTGCCAAGGCAGGAGATGTGGGTTTGATCCCTAGGTCGGGAAGATCCTGTGGAGAAGGAAATGGCAACCAACTCACAGTATACTTGCCTGGAAAACCCCTGGACAGAGGAGCCTGGTGAGGCTGTGGTCCATGGGGTCAGAGCACTGGGCACACTCAGTGACTAAACAACAATGATTTAACGGAGCACTCTTGGTTGGCACTGTTCTTTCAGTGCTTCAGAAAGACGAAATGAAATTAAGCAACTTTTCCTATGGCAATAATTAAAATACAACATTTCAAATAATATAGTTCATATAATTCCTTTGAGACAACTTTTTATCAACGAATATTTTTACTCGCAGGAAACAAAATGTGCACCATATAAAAAAGTTGTGATTTAGTCACTCAGTTGTGTCTGACTCTTTACGACCCCATGGGCTGTAGCCCTCCAGGCTCCTGTCCATGGGATTCTTCAGGCAAGAATACTGGAGTGGGCTGCCATTTCCTCCTCCTGACCCTGGGATTGAAACCCGTGTCTCCTGCATTGCAGGCAGATTCGTTACCACTGAGCTACCAGGAAAGCCCCTGTAAAGAAGTTGAGCTATTAAAAAAACCAAGAATTTATCCTATCAAAAAAGGGGGAAATACATCTTTAGAAGTTAGGTGATGACAATTAGTACAGAATTTCTTTCCTTTTTATTACCTTAAGCATTTGCATTGTGGCACCTCGGAAGGCTACTGGGGACAAGAGGGTTGGTGGAAGTCCTGCCTGTGGACCTGAGGTAGCAATTAAACTCTTACAGTTGATCAAAAAATTTAGCAGTGTAAAGGTATTCATTCCCTTCACAAACACAACAGACTCTGGTCTGTGATCCATTTGTACTTCATGTATCTCTTTACGCCTGAACATGACAATCAAGGAAATTACAAGTGCAAATCCCATACCAACAGTAACAGCAGTTATCTTGACTCACCAGGAACCCTTTTCCCTACTCCAAATGAAATGCTCTTGCTAATTCTCTTCACTGCAATCATGAAAGTGAAGTGAAAGTGTTAGTCACTCAGTCAGGTCTGACTCTTTGCGACCCCATGGACTGTAGCCTGCCAGCTACGGTGTTCATAGGATTCATCAGGCACGAGTATTGAAGTGGGTTGTCATTTCCTTCTCCAGGGGAATCTTCTCGACCCGGGATTGCACCCAAGTCTCCTGACTGCAGGCAGATTCTTTACCAACTGAGCCGCCAGGGAAGCCCTTGCAATTTTAAGGCATCCTAATAAAATCATTTCTTTATGACCATCTGAATTTGCTAGAAATTGATTCCTGAGAAAAATGAATTTCTTCTCTAGTCAAAAGTCCATTCCATTCCCCTCCCCAAATTTAACCAAAATGGAATATTTTTACTTAAAAAAACTTTAATTTTTCTTGTTTTATTGCTCTTAGGGGTTTGCTTTTTAATGTCATGTGGGAAGTAAGTTTGAATATGATCTTAAGGATACTTTAATAGTAAAAGGAAACTTTCAGTCAATATTACACTGCTCAAGAGAATTCTCTAGTGGTCCAGTGGTTAGGACTCTGACCTTCCACTGCAGGGGCCATAGGTTCGATCCCTGGTCAGGGAACTAAGATCCTACATCCTCATAAAAAAAAAAACAAAAAACAATTACATTGCTCACTAACTGAATTCAATGAAAATCAATTTGAGTTAACTGTAACTGAAAGGATATAGCTTGATAGAAAGTACATCTGGTTTTTTAATTTTATCTTGCACACCCATCTCTTCCAGCCAGGAAAAACTTTCTTCTTCATCCTCATCACTGACAGCTTGCTCCCTAGGACATTGCTACAGTTAGTTATGGTTCACATTTCATAAAGCTGTTTCCTCTACATTGAATCCTTAAGTCACACAGATGATGTAAAAGTTTATCTTAATCACATACTCCCCGTGTCGCAAGCCTGTTCCAGACACTTTCCTCTTCTCATGGCCATTTTCTTTTATTAAAGGCAGAGAAAACTCAATACCTATGTGAGAAGAGAAAAATGTAACTGTGTTTTATTTAATATACTCTGAAAGAATTAACAGTCTTGTTGACTTGTAGAGAGTATTTGAAAATGAGTTTCTACACTTGATCATTAAAGCAGTGTTTTCCATGCTTTCTTGACAGCAGCTCACAATACCTACATATCTCCTTGAAACAAATGGTTCAGGACAATACATATTCTCACTACACTTGGTAATCTTTCATCGAGTATATATTACTCTATTTCATTTTTTAAAAAAAGTGCTGAATACAAGCCCACTAAACAGACTTCATGATCTACTAATGTGTTGACAAAGTTTAAAGATCAAATTATTAAAAAAAAAATCAAGTTATTAGAAGAGTGTAGATAATTTGTACTATAAAAGAAATTCTACAGGAGTATATTAAGATTGGGACTTTCCAGCTTGACATGTTTAGAGACTAGAGAACGGAATGTAACTTAAAGCTATGTACATTGGATAACTTAATTAAATGCTAAGAAAAAAAATTTAAAA